TGCAGTGGCACAATGTCTGCCCAGTATAACCTCTGCCTCTCAGGTTCAAGCAGTTCTCCTGCCCCAGCCTCCCAAGTAGCTGGGGTTACAGGTGCACGCCACCATGCCCAGCTAATTTTTTGTGTTTTTAGTAGAGATAGGGCTTCACCATGTTGACCAGGCTGGTCTTGAACTCCTGACCTCATGATCCACCCACCTCGGCCTCCCAAAGTGCTGGGATTATAGGCGTGAGCCACCACACCCGGACCCAGTGTGCATTTCTAAATAATAACACAATAAGTCCTTTCAACCGTGATCTGAGCAAATCTGTTGTCAATATTTAATAGCTCTTTGCTATGCCCCTGCCCTTTGTTTAAAAAAAAAGACAGCGTCTCACTACGTTGCCCACGCTGGACTCAAACTCCTGGGCTCAAATGTTCCTCCTGCCTCAGCCACTTGAGTAGCTGGGACTATAGGCATGTGCCACTGTGCCTGGTGTTATCTATCTTTCTATCTATTTGATACAGAGTCTTGCTCTTTTGCCCATGCCGGAGTTCAGTAGCATGATCTCGGCTCACTGCAGCCTCCACCTTGTGGGTTCAAGTGATTCTCCTGCCTCAGCCTCCTTAGTAGCTGGGATTACAGGCATGAGCCACCACACCCAGCCTCATTTTTGTATTTTTTTGTAGAAACAGGGTTTCGCCATGTTGCCTAGGCTGATCTCAAACCCCTGAGCTCAAAGCAGTCTGCCTGCTTCAGCCTCCCAGAGTGTTGGCATTACAGGCATGAGCCACCGTACTCAGCCGAATCTTTCAAAATAAAAAAAAAATTACTCTTCTTTAACTCGGCAGTTCCATACCTAGGCATGCTACAAAAATCTTCATGTATAAAGATGCCCATTGCAGAGCTGTTTGTAATGGGGAATATTTGGAAATAACCCAAGTTAAAATATTATCTTGATAATCTTTATAGAGACTGTGGTGATCTACATGCTGGCACTTAGAAAGAATGCTAAGACACAGGAAAAGCAAGTTGCAGAACAATTTATATAGTAGGACCCAATTTGCAGAGACGGAGTTTTTATGGTATGGTATGTGTATGTAAATAAAGTCAGCATGAACAGATGGCACTTATTATGGGCCAGCTGTGTTGTTACCACCTTTTTTTTTTTTGAGACAAAGTTTCGCTCTTGTTGCCCAGGCTGGAGTGCGATGGTGTGATCTTGGCTCACCACAACCTCTGCCTCCTGGGTTCAAGCCATTCTCTTGCCTCAGCCTCCTAAGTAGCTGGGATTACAGGCATGCGCCACCACACCCAGCTAATTTTGTATTTTTAGTAGAGACGGGGTTTCTCCATGTTGGTCAGGCTGGTCTCCCGACCTCAGGTGATCTGCCCGCCTCGGCCTCCCAAAGTGCTGGGATTACAGGCATGAGCTGCCGTGTGTGGCCCAGCACTATTTTTTTTTTCTTTTTTTTGATAGAGTCTCACTAAGTCTCCCAGGCTGGAGCGCAGTGGCGCAATCTCTGCTCACTGCAACCTCCGCCTCCCGGGTTCAAGCATTTCTCCTGCCTCAGCCTCCCGAGTGGCTGGGATTACAGGCATGTGCCACCA